GCTGGCTCATGGTTAACCTGTCGTCCACCAGCACTCCCAGGTCCCTCTTCACAGAGCTGCTCTCCAGCAGGTCCACCCCAAGCCTGTACTGGTGCATGGGGTTATTCCTCCCCACGTGCAGGACCCTGCACTTGCCCTTGTTGAACCTCATCAGGTTCCTCTCTGCCCAACTCTCCAGCCTAGCCAGGTCTCACTGAATGGCAGCACAGCCTTCTGGTGTATCCACCACACCTCCCAGTTTGGTGTCATCAGCAAACTTGCTGAGGGTACACTCTAATTCTTCATCCTGGTCATTGATGAAGAAGTTAAACAAGGCTGGGCCCAGTACTGACCCCTGGGGGACACCACTATTAACTGGTCTCCAGCTAGACTGAGTTCTGCTGATGACAACCCTCTGAGTTCTGCCATTCAGCCAGTTCTCAATCCACCTCACTGACCACTCATCCAGCCCACACTTCCTGAGCTTCCCTAGGAGGATGTTATGGGAAACTGTGTCGAAAGCCTTGCTGAAGTCAAGGTAGACAACACCCACAGCTCTCCCCTCATCTACTCAGCCAGTCATGTCATTGTAGAAAGCTATCAGATTGGTCAGGCATGATTTCCCCTTGCTGACTACTCCTGATAACCTTCTTTTCCTCCACTTGCTTGATGATGACCTCACCTCTCATCCTTACAGACTTACATGTGTGACTGAGCTAGAAGCCAACCCGCAAATATACAGGATCCAAGAACCTTCTGCTTCGTGTACCTACATTCCTTTCCTGCCATGCTGCTTCACAGGTAGGGAAGAAAGATGTGACCCAGCGGTCCAGCCCGCTCGCTGGCATACAAGTGCCCACAGTGGCATACAAGAGGAAAGGGGAGGGCCCAGAAGGTCAGATGCCAATATGCTGATGTACGGAGCCATCTGAAGATGGTTATTCCACAAGAATGAGTATTAATGTTATTAATACATTGCTTAATATTGTCCCTCAGAATTAAAAACAAAAACAGAGGAGGGATGACAGTCAAACCCTCCTGGCTCAGGAGCATGAGCTGTACATCTCTCTGTTCCTCCCCACTGCAAAATAATACATCTGGCACATACATCAACTGTTAACAGCCGTTGCAGCAACTACTGCAAAGTCTGTAAATATAGATATGAAAAAAGGACTGGCACCAAAACCTTGAAATGCACAAGAGCAAACTCTTGCTTTACCTAAGAAGAGAAATGTCTACTAACACATTTCTGCTGTGTCCACCGTGTGACAACCAGTTTCACAATACGGCGACAGAATATATGCACACCCCAGTTTTCACACTGAAATTCACAGCACGACCTAATTGTAAGGACGAATATTCATGTAGCAGACCCCCAGAAACAGCCATGGTGGTCAGGTGTGGGCGCAGTGCCGACTTCTGAAAACTGCTGGTATAGCATTAACTGAGCCCAAACCACATTATTATTTTTAGAAGGGGAACTGTGTACATTAAAGTAGAATCAAGTTATGAACAGTCTCTCAGGAAGAAAAACCTGCCTCTACAATCTTAACTGGTAAATACTTAGCGATAGGTACCTGAGAAATCACTTGAAAAGTGGTCACAGGACAGACAGAAAACAGCCACGGAAACTACGAAAGAACGCTTTTGCTTATTTCAAACACAGTACGAAATCACAGCTGGCTTACAAAACAGTGTCAGCGCCAGTCAGCCGTTGCCAACTCCAGAATAAAATTCTATTGCTTCAGTCGAAACCACAACGTGATGCTCTGAGCTACCACGTCGCTTACACTCAAGACAACCTCCTCCGGGATTTTGGAACGGGAAACAAAGCGGGGACAGTTCAACATTCAGCCATTCCTGCAGGCATGCCAGCGCACGCAGACTGGGCGGCCAACACATACCGTCATTTATCTGCTATAGAGCTCCTTCCTCACGCAGGATTTGAAAGTAGTATACCTCTGTATAGGTTTGTAGCCCTGTGGAGCAGAAGATGGAGAAGTGCGCAGATGCAGACAACACGTGAAGGCAGCCAGAGGGAAGCGTAAGACAACGGTATCATGAAAATACAAAAAAATGGCTTTAAGTGACGAATAGCTAGAAGATACAGTACAGTATGTACAGGTAAAATGCTTATCATTTAGCCATTAAGTTCCAAATCTTTCAGTTTAAAAATGGAATTTATAATGGAAAGGGAATCTTCTTATATTTTTTTTAAAATTAAAAAAAAGAGTAAGGAAATAACTATTTTAAACCAAACAGCAAGCAAAAATAAAGCTTCTCACATTTTAGTAAGCTTATTGCAATACTCTGACCGACCACCTGATGGCAGCTTGATATACTAGTTTGTTTCAAACTACTAAAACCAAAAAAGGTTTCAGATTATAATACTATATTCCAGGAAGAGAGAAAATTCGTTTGATAAACTCTTTAAGACATTTCTTTTTCCAAAAACATATCCAAAGTATATGTTAAAATGAACATTTATTATGTTCCTATAAGGGTTAGCACTTGGCCCTCCTCAAGTTCATAAGTATATGGCTAAGCTTTTAAATAGCACAAAGCTGGTAGGCACTGACTGACCTTTCCGAACTCCAGTTTCATTGGACTTGTGTCACTCCTTGCTCTGAAACAGGTTTGCTTTAGTCAGACTACATAACTACAAAATGCCCTTTTCTAAAATCCACGGTCCTAGTACCAAGCTCTCTGATGCCCTCAAGATTCTGCTGGGCAAACATTTTAGTAAAACAACTTTCAAAAAAGTTGAATTGCTAAGTATAAGATGTTAATTGTAAAATCATACTTCAAACCCTACGCCTATTTTAGACTATTATTTTTAGATGTTTTTGGAGTGATAATCAGAGACTATACTGATTTGGACAGACATCAAGTGTAGGATACTTCACATTAAAATCGGGCATTTACACTTTATTCACAGGTTCAAATTTCTCACAGCAAAAATTTCCATGTTGCTACAAAATACTGCACATGCAGAAGCCATAATGTTCTTTTATTTGTTTAAAAGAACTGACCAGATCTTCATCTGGATTTGAAACACCATTACTAGCAAAGCAAAGGTTAGTGAGTTGTTAGTTTTGTCGTAGCACAAGACAACATTTGAGCCCACCACATTGTAGGAGCGGGACGGTAAACTTCTACTTGTTCTGGCCACCCTAAATACTGTGCAACCTCCAAAGTACTAACAATAGAAAGCAACTAATGACACCTTCCGCCAATTTGTTTGGGGCAAAAGGTTCTTATGGATTTTCTTTTCATTCTAAGCCAAGACTGGGGTGGGGTGGGTGGGGGGTGTTTATTAAACTGAAAAGGCAAATTTTTGCAGTTTTTACTACTACCTACTCTTGGAAAAATATAAGGTTTGTGTGACACTTAAAAAACTTACTGGAAATTGTAAATTCTAAGTCTGGTACTGTAATTATCTTGGAATACTATTGATTAGTGAAGAGAATGCATTTTTCTGAATAATCTAACAAGTCTGCATGTAAGCATGTCTGAATATAACTGAATTACAGGATCAAATCATGATCATCTCCCATGCAACCCAGGAGATATCGCCTATCTGATTAAAATTAGACATATCATTTATGAAAGATTGTGCTCTTCTTCTGAACGTCCTTGGCTATTCTTTATAGCTCTTTTACAGTCCGCTGGAGTATTTTATAGTGGCCTAGGCAAAAATAAGGCTGACAGTGCTGGGCGATATAGATTCCTAAGGATTATATGTGATTTCTGCCATGCATTTTGTGAAATAGAAACATGTAATACATTTACAAGAATTACTTAGTAAGCAGACTGTTTTCTGGTTAAATTAACATACACTGCACACTTACAGTCAGTGAACAATTAAAACATATAACTGAACATCTTGAAACGGTTATGAAACGATCATCATTCCCACACCATAATAGAAGGAACTGAGGACCAACAAGGGAATAAGTTTGTTACAAATGCAGTGGTTGTTATCCACATTCTACATTCCATCAAAATATTCCAAAAATCACAAACAAACTATTAGACTGAACACCACTTCACAAAAAGTTCTAAAATTATATTTAGGAAGCTATCTAAAAATGACTAAAATGATATAACAGAAATAACATACTCAAATGCGAATTTAGGAACTGTAATAGTTTAAGACTTATGTCTAAGGGATTAGGTTGTCAGTAAGACCACCATTTTACATTTAGTTAAAAATGTTAACACCTGCCATATGAAGAAAAAAATGTGACTTTTACTGATCATACTCTAAATAAAAAATTTTCCGTTACCATAAAATTCCCCTGTACTACACAGAACCTGAAGAGGGCAGCAAGTCCTATACATTCATCTAAATGGCAAACCACGATTTACAAGCTTGTTCCCTATGAAAATTTTCTGCAAGTGATTTCTCCCCCCTCTAGCTTCTTGCAATTTAATGTATTACATACAGGGTTAAATTACCAAAATCAACTTTGACCTAGAACATAGCTTTGTTCAGCACCACTTCACTAATTCTTTATTTGAAAATTACAACTATCTCCTGCTGCAACTCTTTTCAACAGTCACTTGGTATTTTAAATGATGTTTTAGAAGAGTCAATGGTTGACCTTTAACTAAACCGCCAGAGTTTGAGCGGTTCCCTACAAGCAACCCAAACATAATTGCTACCCTTGTTAAAATTCTTCATGCCAATCTATCAGTCGTACAATACAGAAGAAATGACAGTAGAATAATAGAATCGTTTAGGTTGGAGGAGACCTTCAGACTCACCGAGTCCAACCATTAACCTAACGCTGTCAATTCCACCACTAAACCATGTCCCCTATGCAGAGGATTTCTCATTTCCACTTTGGTTTGTGTATTATAAAGGTACATCGTGTCCTCTATGTATTGCTTTCTAACAAAAAAAAATCAAGAATTTAAGAACAAATTTATCTTGCAGACTGCTTCAAGATTTATCTAAAACATACGCCTTTCAACATACGCACTGTTGCTTTGCAACTTGCTGGTGCTACAGGTGCTAAAGTAAGTAGTGGTAAGTAGTAAAGTCAACCAAGATAACTATAAAAATGAGAATCCTTACCCTAAACCCTCGATTGAGTCTGTCTTTCATAATGCCGATAAACTCCTTATAACTCAACTGATCATCTCTGTCGACATCAAAAATCTTGAACACTGTGTTCACCAAATGTGGTGAAAGCTTCACACCTGTAGCTACATACACAGCACGTTTGAATTCATCTGCGTAAAGAGAACATCAGAAGAAAAAAACAAAATACATGAATTTAATCCTACTTTGTGGACAACATATTGTGAAATACAAGTAAACTTTTGAGTTTTCACATTTAAGCACTCTAAAAATAAGAACATGTGAAAACAAGGATTGAATTTCACAGTTCCAAACCAAGTAGTTCTCAACTGACATAAACTGATACTGCTTAATTGGCACAAATTATTTTACACAAAAGACAAACTATGTGTAATAAGAAAATTAGAGAATCATGTTACAATTAAACCTATGTTACATACATACTGATGGCATCTACTTAACCGACATGAAACAAGCCTAAGAACTAGAGCACAGAGTAAACTGTACACTCCTTTGGTGAGGCGCCATGAGGTACGACTATGCTGGTGTCACCGTGTCAGACCCACGAAGATGCCACATGAGGACAGCACACAAGTCTGACCACGTATTGTTCAACTTGCACTCCCCAAGCATCTCAACCGTTGTATTCAGGATTTCAGTCAGTCCATCCCTGCCTAGTTCTTTCAGCACCCACTTACTGATTTGTTCAAAAAATCTGTCTAATCCCTCTTCAGACCTTCTGACACTGTTTCGTTCTACAGCCTTCGTAGAAGGCCACATTCCAGACGCCCACTGTGTAAAGAAACGCTCGTTTGCTTTAATCTGATCTCTTATTGTTGTCATCAAGTGCCTCCTAACTCTTGCGTTGTAGGGTTTGGTGACCGATTATTCTGCATTCAGCTTATCCACCGCTTACATGACTTTGTCAAGCTTTATCATGTCTCTTATGATACGACTGAGTCTTCTCCTCTCAAAGCTGGAGTCCTAGCCTATTTAGCCTTTTACCTGAGACTTTAAAACTACAAACTGGGAATTACAAAACATTTTTGTATCTTTGTCAACAGTTCTGTATCTTTATCAACAGATTTTTGTAAAAATATAAATACTTACCCTGACCTATGGAACGACTTGCAAAGTTATACATTTGCATTGCAATTGTGAAGTCTTCTAGGTTGTTCAAGAATTGGAAAAATGATCTAAACTCATCAAATGTGATACCCTAAAAAACAGAAAACAATATGCACCGTAAGAATTATTAGTAGCAATGACAACCAAATAAACAAACCTTGCAGTTACGTATGTCTACTTCACTTAAGAACAGATACTACACCCATTGAAAAAACTAAGATATTTGTATTGAAAGTCAATAAAGTAAAGAACTGGAGTCTCCTGAGGAATGAAAGATGTTTTTCCTCTTTGCCACTGCAATGGATAGCAATTATCACCCAAAAAGCAGTCAAAAATATTGTTCCATTGCTTAAGGTAATTCCAGGACTGTTATGATACAACAGTTAATATTGAGAATACGAGTCTAGGTTTGTATGAATATTGGCATATGCTTACTACTGAAAACCTGCAAACCACTATTATGAGTGTGTGTGCTCAAATAAATACATTGAATGAATTCCTAAATACATGTTATAGTTTAACTTAAGCTCTGTACTTTAAGGTGAAGTATTTAAATATCCAGATTTAGACACCTAAGTCTCTTCAGCTGATACTCCAACTATCCAAGTATTGCAAGGTTTGTCCAGCTTTCTAAAAAATGTTTTGCATCTTGACCTGACTTCAGATTACCTTCTGTGAAAGCTTCTCTGAAAGTGCTGTTAAGAGAGCTTATTTTTTCTTCTTTCCTTGTGAAATTTGTCCTGCTTTTCTTTCATCTTAGTTACAAATCCAAAGACCTGATAAACTATCTCTAAATCAATTTTGAAAGAGACCTTAAACAGAGACTTTGAATTAAGCCAGGACCACTGCCTGCATCTCATTCTCCATGGTCTCTCAGTCATTTTGAATGTGGGATGGCATTCTTCGTCAAGCCAGGATCTTCCTGGCCTCCTTCAACTACCATTCCTGGCTATTCTTCCATCTCCTTTTATCCTATTTAACTACTTCTCTCTGAAAATAAACGTGAAGACAACAGAAAGACCTGTAAGCCTTTCTGTTCAAAGTAAAATCTTGACTTACATCTCTCCTCAAAGATAAAATAGTCATTATGGCATGGTGGAACACAGAAAACATACTGAAGTAGGTTTGTGCAGAGGAGAAAATGGCAGAGGTTGGCTGTAAACCCATGAGAGACAGTAAATACTGTGATAAATGTGGAAAGCAACATACTATGGTTAAAATAAAAGACTTTCATAGGCCTCCACCCACTTGAGATGTTAACCACTGCTTAAGTGATCCTACCTAAGCTCTAGCTAAGATTTATAAACTGATTGGAGATCTTGACCCATCTCCATCATGAACTGCTTTTCTCAACAAGCATGTTTGTTCTCCGTTTCATCCTTTGCAAATGGGAGGACACTCTCATGGACACAAGCAGAACCACCTCCTTATTCTCCTTTACATTTTTATCTTAAAAGCTTAATTTACTGATACTATCCAATACTGTCTCCTTGTTTCATTGCATTGGACATCTAGTAGTTTATGTCCAAGTTCTGTTTCTTGCACTCTGTTTAGACTGAACACTCTCTGGACTGGAATAATTTTGTGACATATTTGTGAAATACCTAGATTGGTGAAACTTCAGTCCCCAGCTAGGATCCTCAGGTACTATGGCAAAATAGCAATAATAGCAAATGTCCATCAAAGTCTTGATCTGACATTTTTAGGTTCACGATGATTTTTAAAAATCCTCAAGGAAAAACACCAAAGGACACAAAAGAGGCAGAAGGGCAGGCAAAATGACACTCAAAGCAAGTTGGGCATACAGCATTCTACTGCCTCTCTGCTTTCCTAAAAAGAACCTATTTTATTTATTCGGACAGATTATATTTTACCACAGCAAAGAAAACTTATATTAATGCACCAATGCTGTTAAAAAAGCATAGACTTTCTTTAGGAGCCGATATGTGTAGCAATTCTAGACGCCAGCTTAAATGAATCACCACTTGGCATCCAGTTAGTGAAAGGAGGAAAACACCCTGTGAGCAGGCAGCAGGCCAGCTGAACGTTTTAACGTGACTACAGCACGCCAAATGATCGTGATGTTGCTTTAGAGGTTTCTACCTACAGCACCACAAAAGATTAACATTGCCAACTGTGAGAGTAGCTGCCTATTACTTTACAGGGCAGACTAATTTTTCTTCTAAATGGAATCCTCTGGTTTGTATTAGTACTGCAGCGTATCACTGTAATAATATAGAGAGTACATTTTATAATTTTCAAATTGTAATGTTATGACAAGTGTAAAAAAGTGCAAACATATGAACAATGCCTCCATGGGAATAAGAAGCACAGACCCATTCTCCAAAGCCTGTGGCCAGCACAAGAGATGCCGCAGGGATTTACTTTTTCTGCTGTACTGACAGCCATTTACCAGGCCAGTGATATGGAGATACGGAAAATGGCAATGTCTTGTTTTACTTCATGGAGGTATAGCATATGACATGCAGATATATGGCACTGGTCAAGTGCCAAGATATTCCCAGAACACAGCATAAGCACACCCGTAACTGAGTGACACAGCTTTCTGTGTGGAAGTTTTCCTCAGCTGATGGTCCCACTGGAGATCAAGAAGAGGAAACTGTGGAAGACTTGCTATCAGAACAGTGGTATTGGAAGACTTCAGAGATGAACTCGAAAGAATACCTCCTTGTGCTTAAGTGTCTGTATTTCTATTTGCTCAATCAACTTCACCTTCACCGTTCAAAGAAGTATTTCTCCATACTTATGACTGTCATGACTTTTCAGTTACCCAAGTGATACATCACTGTTGTCACACAAGGCCCAAAGTGGTTTTTTTCCCTCAGATTTCCATATATATGCAAACCTATATATATGGAAATCTTGATTTCACCCGGAACAAAAAATTATGGGAACTACACAAAGTGACCTGTACATCCTTTCTGTTGCACTGTCTTGGTTTTGAAAACTGAAAGCTGTGCAGACCTTTCAGAGCAGTTAGAACTGAGCGTCTCAGCAGCCAAATGGGGAACTCGGAAAGGGTCGGTGAGCAGGAACTCTGATCCCAATCTTATCGCTTCATCTCACACCTAATCTGGTGCAAGAGAGACAGCCCTGCCTTCCCTTTCCACTTCCCAGCTATATGTACCTCTCAATGGACCTAAGCGCTGTCCAACCACAGGAAGAATCAGATAATCCAGACATTTGAAAGAAAACTGTTGATTTTTGGAGTGTGTTTCTATCAGGTCAGCTGACTGATTTTACTTACTCTGTAGACTGAAAGTATGATGTAATTTCTCAAATAAAAAAACCCCACAAAACTGTCCAAACTGATTTATTACTTTTCCTCACAAGCTCTGCTGTCAATGCTATTAAAATATATAGCTGTCGAAAGAGTTAGATTTCTGGGACAGATTAATCTGATCTCCTTCTGTAAACACAAACAGAAGGAGTACATCCAAACCACCTCTTATTTGAAGGGCTACTTTTAACGTTATTCTATTGATTACCATTGATGCACAGTTGTCACTGCATTTCTCAGATACACTTCTGACAACATTGTTAAATAAATGCAGGACTATCTGCCTCATGACCGTCACTGTTTTTATTCTCTCTTCTCTCTTCAGCCTTTAATAAGAACCACGTACCCAACAGTAACTATACACAAGTGATCTATGATTAAGACTACAAAACAACTAGATAAAGGGTGTCCATGTTATTTCTGAAGAGGTGCTATTCCAGTGGCAATGTAAAGGAGAACTAAGAAGAAAACACATTTTTTTTAATGCCTCATTGCTAGAAAATTGTTCAAGTCTTATGGTTTTTGCTGTTGAAACTGAATTTTCACGTAACGTAAAGCTTTGTTTTAAAAACTTCAGAAAATTTACTAGCTAAAACCTACGGAACATAATTCTACGCTATTTACTCTTCTACTTTTTATTCAGCAGTAATCTGAAATACATGAGACACACAGCTTATGATCAGAATAAAATCCTGGTGCTAATTAATTCAGTGACAGAACCTCATTCAGTCCAACAAGGCTACGTTTTCATCTTGATGACACTGGGAGTGGATGCTGTGGCCCACTGCTGTCCTAGCTAAACAATTACCTTTTCTTCAGGAATCCTGCAGCGCATGTTTTCCAGGTAAGTTGATGTATTTTCCACATTTGTATACCTCAAAAGAATATGGGCAAAGTCTTCCTCACTGATGGTGTTCATCCCGTTAGAGTAGGAAAGGAATTCTATCTCTAGAACCTCAGTTTGTAGGTTATCCATAAATCTAAAGCACAAAGATAAATATGAATAAATAGTAGTATTTATATTTCTACTATTCACGTCCTTAAAAGACTCGTAGAATATAAAGCCAAATATCATTATACAAATTAGTTCCCTCTTCACACCATTGATGATAAATTTGGTAAATCCCTTATCTACGTTGACATATTTTCTAATCAATACAACAATCTTAACTCCTAGCTGAAGTGCTTTAGTGAGGATTAAAATGACTGTAGACTTACATTTCTCATTTACTTCTAGTTTGTGTTTGCTTAATTTTCTTCTTCTTCAGTGGGTCTCCGATCTTTATTTTTATATGTTAGACTGAAAATTCCATCATGGTACTAAATGAATTCCTGAAATTTATAATTTATTCACCATATAGTTACTTACAGACTGCGATTAAACCTCACCTTTCTCTGTTTAACAAACTATGATGAGCTCTTGCAGCCTTCCAATCTAAACGTTTGTTTTTTTTAATACTTCACTATTCTTATGACATTTCTATAAACTCTTCCCAACTTAAAAACATATTTAGTATATTCTGGACACCAAAACGGGATAAAGTATAAAACTAGCTACACATAAAAAGGAAATGTAACTTTCCTGATTCTGCTTGATGTCCTAGTTATACAACCAAGGATGAAATTCGCTCTCTGGTCATAGTCCTGCACTGGGAGCTCACACTCATCCGATTGTCAGCCACGACCTGTAAGGCTTCCCTGTTACGGGTTGCCAAGAGTTCCCATCCTGTAGACATGGTCTGCGACACTCCTTCCTAATATACAACTTGACTTCTAAGAACTATGAGGAGCTCAAATCAAAAGGAGGTGTAGACAAAAGTGTAAGTGCAAGATAACATAGAATAGTATTTCCCTCACCGGTTCACAGTCTAATGATATTTTTGAGCTGGTAAAGTAGTGTTGAATAAAGCTTGATGGATCCCTCTTTCATGAATATGTCTACTAGGTTTTGACCTCTTTAGCACTCACAACGTCTTACAGCAATAGATGGACATTTTAACTAGATGCCTTTTGAAAATGTACCTTCTTTTCTGGTTCTTGTTTTGAACCCACACCATGATTTCATTTGATGACACAGTTGTTATGCTATGTGAAATACTGAATACTTTTTGCAAACACCTGATTGATTACAACACACAGTTAAATAATAACTATAAAGACAAGAGGTATTGGGAGTATTTACTGAGGAAATGATAACCAAACACTGTATCTCTTTCAATCACATAGAAACATACAGTTCTATGGCTCTGTTTTTATAGCTCTCTCCCTAATTTTTAAATTCTATTTTAACTGGCATAATAATTAAGCCAATAGCTTCCACTGTGTTTTCACTTTTTTCCCAAAGAAGCATGTTCTAAGGTGCCTACACGCTATCTTCACAAAAATCTTTACATTTAAATATGTCCCTAAGAGCAGAGATGCATACAAATTTTTTTTTAAAGCCCTGACAAAGAAGGCAAAAAAACCAAAAATAATTCAAAACCAAGAATAAAGTTCCTACGTACCAATAAAGACAGTATTGGCGTATAACCTCTCCACCCCAAACCAACCATGCACACAAGTGCTAACAAAATTTGCAAATGCAAAAGCATTACTACTTGTAAAAGCAATACTACTTGGTCCACTTGTTTTATTTTGCTCTTTGTGTATACAATACACACAAAGAGAACAAACATTATACGCATGTCTGCACAAACTATGCGTATGGTAATACAATACACATTAATTAGAACAAGCATGCAAGTGATTTTTAACAAGGAATTATTGAAGTTGAGACTCACCTATAAAAATCTTCGAAGTTCAGTTCAGCTTTTCCTTTCTTGCCGAAAAAGTGTACAAGCAACGTAGTATCTGACAGTGAACTTGACATATCATCAGCACGCTTAAATATTAAAGAAAAAAAAGGCATGATTGGGTCAGTTACAGAAGTATAATCTGAGAATGCCTATCCTCACAACAGAGCTATCTATTAAAAGAGATTGTTTCATGTTCACAGTCTTAAAAAAGACTTTAGTATTAAAATCCATTAAACTAATTTAGTCATGCAATTTTGACACAAAATAGCATTAGGCTGTTAATTGCATTTAGTAGAAAACACTTAGAACAATAATATAATATAATGGAAGTTGCAATGAAGGGGGAAAAGGATGAAAAATAAAACGAGAAACTCTTGAGGAAAAAAAAAGTTCTAGTCAGTTGGGGTAAACTATAAAAATAACTCCTTTGTACACAATCTCCTTTCTCTTCTACTATGCAAATACAAAGAAATTAAAGGATGTTACCTCATATACTCTTTATTTTCTATCTGAAAATTACTAAGTGTGGGATTTTATTCCAAAACCACTCACAAGTCACGTGTACTTCATACAATTCTTTTCTGTAAATAATAGATAACTATAGTCTAAATTTTATTGCCCAAATATATTTCAAAGAACAGAACTGTAAGAAATTTCACAATCATGATGTAATATTTTGACTCATTAAGAACATTCCTCATCTACTGAGTATGTGGTCTTTGCATCAGACAGAAATCTTTGAACTTGCGCTAATACCTTGTCCTTAATGAATAACTATCAACTTTGAAGGCACAGAATTAGAATAGTAAAACCAACTAATTTTGACCATTTGTAATAGCAAGAGTTGTAAATAGGGAGATGCATATAAACAGAAGTAACTACCATCAGTTTACAAACAGAAGTGACTATCACCTGTGTATAGCACTTGTGCACATTCCACTTTTTTACTACATACTCATTACCCTTAACTGTCGTTTATGTGCATTGATTTTACCTCTTTTACACAAAAACTCCTGATACACTGAAGAGCTAGAAAAATAATTCAGTAATAAAAGGCTGTTAAATAAGCCGCAGTATTCCACCATGGCAATATCCTTCTGGCATTAACATACATCTGCCAACAGCTGAAATTCAAAAAGTAATATATCTAGTCTCCTTGCTGCCTCTGCCTAGAGAGAACCTTCTGTTCAAGCTCTCATTTTTTGTACAAAGACAAGATCTTCTGACCAGCAAAGAGTGGGACCCAGCAGTCTCAGCTCTTCCTAGGCCAGCTACCACCCAGCAGCAACACCGTGTTTTTGTGCAAGTGTGCCTGCCGACTCTACTGTTAAAGTACCAAACAGAATACACAGTGCAGAAAGCTAGTAAGTATTTGGGGGATGTAAGAATAGTAATTTATCAGCATAAAGATAGATTCTAATCCTATGGGATTTACTGTAAGTACAGAAAACTGTTTATATAGATCTATAAAGATCTGCATATGCAAACCTGCAAGCTGCACTCAGTCCTTGAAGTCCGACTTTATTTCATAGTTGAAAAGGCTATAAATTTACAACAGATGGAGAAACTCTAAATGAAGAAACTAGGAAGAAATTTTGAATGGCGTGCGGTAGTCAACATCATGTACCATGAAAAATCATTTCATATCTACGTTCTCTGAATTACACTACATTAATTTCAAATTTACATACTGACTTGTAAAAAATGTAAAATGCAATATCCATATTTGAGTATCAACAAGGAAAAACGTGAGGCAGTAACAACGCAAACCCCTTCCTTTCAACATCCAAGATCTAAAGAAACGAGAGAGACTTTTCTGTACTTTAGTATAATCAGTTTAGGATTCTCAAGATTGTATTTCGTGTACTCTAGCTTCCTCTTTATTCTCCTATTCTTTTCCAGGGAGAAGTAAGATGACATAGTGTATATACAGGTAGAGAGATATTTCATGTCCTTTAATTAAGGCACCTTTGCTCTTCAAGTGAGTAAACTAATTCAGAAAAGTAATCACTATTTGTCTTTTAATATTGTTATCCTCCACTGCAGGACACAATATACCGAAATGCAGATACCCTGATTTCTTATGTCTTTTAAGCAATTAAATCCCTAAGCACATTCAAACAATTTCCCTCAAGTACACTGAAAAGGTATCAAATGTTAAATTGCAGCCTTTCATCTTGCAAAAACATTTCAAAACCTTAGACTTAGCTTCCATTCACCCATATCTAAAGAACCATCTAAAAAAAATACAATCTGTAAGTCTTCTCACAATTCCCATTTGGTCAGCCTCACTAAATGAAAAAACCCTAAACAAAAACCTCACTCCAGAAACTCAACCCAGTGTGTTTCTCTGCAGAACTGCAGGCAACTGAAAACTATTCCTGTGCTCCTTCTGCACCGATAGCACTAAATAAATTCGCTCTCTTAAGGGGTAAGGATAAAAAGAAAAGCCTTAATAATTGAAAACTATTATTTATTGTTCATAATAAAACTAATGTTGTATTTTAGGTCAGTGAAAATAAAATGGCCACATCTGTTTCCATATATATAAACAGGAGTCTATTTTGATCTAATATATTTTGCAGTCATTTAAATGAGAAAAAAACCCTGCCTCGTTTCTCTTTACCTTTAAACTAACTGTAATACAAACAGAGGCAAGGAGAAAAACAGGAGAGACAAGCGTTTCAGTCACATTATTGGCTTGCTGCATAATGACAACATCTTTTCCTCTCAATTTCCTAACCTGAATAACAGCATTTTTTTAATACTCTGCAAAATTAATTTCAAGATCTTGATTAAAGAGGGTTGGCTAGAAGAAAGTTAGTCATGAGCGATGGTCCGCTTACAGCAACATATTCTGAGACTGAAGTATGTATATTATGCTTTTAATTAATAAGAGCTTTCTTACTTAAAGTCCTTGATTTTTCAATCTACTGATTTCCAGTAATCTAAGAATAAACCCACAAACTGAATTCAGTGGTAACTGGCATACCCCACCAGGATGGTGTAGTTGCTCAGTTAGGAACAGCAGAAACAGTACTGTAAACTGTTCTAGGAACAACCTGGACGTGATGGATAACTTCTTCCCCCCCCAAAAGAGACCCTGTAAGTTGATTCCCACAACAACGAACCTTATTTACTCTCCTTTTCAACTTACACAAGGCCTTCTCAAAAGCCTATGAAACAACACAGCCTCCAGTGTCACCTAGCTTTATGCCACTTTCTCAGTACAGATGGCTATAACACTATTCAGATGTGAGAGTACCTGGGAGAGATAAGAACATGGATGAAAGCCAGCTGGCTCAAACTTAACCCAAGCAAGATAAAGATGATTATGGTGAGAAGTGGGAAGTTCTCAATGGAGCAAATGCAGTACATGACTTTTCTTTATAAAATGATTTACAAGTGAGTAAATAGAGTTTTTATACACTTTACAGCCAATTTACATCAATGTGTAGTATAGCTGCTGTTAAGCTTCAATTACATTGTAGTTACAGATATTAGTCTGATGCATCAGATGTAAAAAACCTCTCTCTCTTCAAATTAAAGGTGTGTAGAGATTGCCCAACTTAAGTCCATCTACAATGGTGACTGAATTCATGCCAGCTAACTGTAGACTAAGACGAGAGTTAATTCAGAAAACTCCGTGCCCCAAGCTCCTTGAAAGCAGGCAATGAAAAGAGCGGCCCTCTCTCCCCTCCATGTCTCCCTTAGCTGACTAGACAATAGAAGTGACATTCTGGGTTTTAAAATCTGGTGGAAAAAAGAAGGACTAGTAGTTCAGGAGCTCATCAATTTGAAAGCAAGGAATGAAAGGCTGGGTATACTGCTTTATTGCAAGATCACTATAAATGTTATTACTATGAATATTGCTAGAAATATTTGTATAAAACTCAATTCTGTAGCCCTACATTTTGTTTTGTTCAAAGGCAAATGGACTCAAGCTGAGAGAGGGACAGAGAAGGCCTATTTGATACCTAGGAAACGTAGGTTCTACCTCAAGAGAAAACTCAAAGACCTTGTGTTTAGCCTATGATAACAAAAACTGAGGGCTATAACTACATTTATAAACACAACCATGATCAATAAGAATAGCCCTATGAAAGTCAAGGGACAACAGACTGGTATAAAGAGACTATGAGCAAATTTCGACTGGAAATTAGAAAAAATCCATCCAAGACCTCAGGTTATTCCATAGCTTCTGCAGAGGAACAGCGGGGACAAAACACTACTTACTTTTAACATCAAGCACAGATTGCTTATGAAGCAAAGAAAACACGATTTTTTTACCCTGGAGGTCCGTTCCAGTTCCTTGTTCTTTTTTCATTATGATCCTGCTTACGAAGCGTGGGACTTGAGACCAGAGTCAGTGAGGAGCTGCTCTATGTCCTTTAATGCCACAACCAGCAGAGCTATCACCCTCACTGTATGGGGCACAGAACAGCCTAAATGATCTAGCTTTCTGCTCCTCTTACATGATCAATACAAATAAATGTCTTAATTATCCAAAAGCAGATCATGAAACAAGAATCTTACCAGAATTCAAAGAACTGTGGAAATTAATCTGACAGCTCAGTGATACTGGTAGTCCTCCACAATGATCGTGTAACCTTAAAAAAGATTGACCAATGTTTTGGTCACCTTAAAATATTTCTGGTTTGATCCAGCAAATAAAACAATCTTTGTGTGATACTGTTTTTGTGAAGATAAGCTCTGATAACATACATAAAAAGAACACTAAAGACCTAAAGATTAAAAAGTTAAAGGTTTGCAACTCTTATTAAAGTTGTCATATCACTGGACCAAGCCTAAATGACAAATGTTTCCTGCTCTAACTGTGAAATATTAGTGTTAGAAAATGCTTCTTAAAGTAACGACTGAAGAGGACTTGATCTTCCAACTCTTTCAAAAGCTAATATTGCTTTTACTTGGAAATGACAAATTTCAATTATCACACTGCACGGAACCAAATCCATTTCATGTGAGAGCTTTTAGGTTTACAGAAAAAAAAGTAATTAAATGGAAGAGAAGAAACAAAATGCATAAAACAGGAAAATAATCAGAACAGAAATAAATAAGATAGCAGTATGTTTATGGACCACAGACAGAGGCTGTCTTATACCTCCGCAAGGTCTGAAAAGAGCGCTTGGCTTGTGCTACGTCTCAAAGTATCCCAGTAGCTTCTGGGGACAACGTCCTCTCCTTCTGTTTTAAGAACCTGCAGAAGTTTCAAGCACAATTGTTTGAAAAACAAATAACAATAAAACAACCGCTTACAGACTTTAAATTCTTTTCCAACTGACCTTCAAAAGCATGGCTTGATTCTTTTGCTTCTACACAGAGACATTTCTACCCAGTTCCATGACACTTTGTAAATGAAAGGAACACTGGTCTATTACAGCTGTTTGCTTATTACTCATAACTTGGCTGTGCCCAAAGCATCACCAGACTCCACTTTCCCAAACAAAATAAATTAGAGAAAACGTGAAGTGAAAATATTTGTTAATACTACGTGTGAAAATGTCCATCTACACTCAGTGTTTTGCTGTTACTTTTTCTAAAAATGCTGGTTTGCAAAAAATATTAAATTACTTACTTCTGAAATCTGTTTTCTCATTGGTCAAAATATAAGTATCACCATACAACTAGTTACATAAAATTAATTTCATCCAATAATGAGGGTGACATCCTTTCACCAATAAAGAAATGCAAAAAACAAGCCTAGTAAGTCCAACTTGAACTGTAACATATTTGTCAAGAATAGACTATTCACATCTGATGATCAAACCTACCTTGTTTAAACAGAAAATAAAGTGTTTAATCTGTCCAAGGAAAACACGCTTACCTTTTTGCTCTGAAATGTTCTATTTTTGGAAGCCTGAAAAATTTTCCATTACTAAACTGTGCCTTCCTTTATCTAGTAATTAGTCTTGGAAGAACCATGCAACATATTTATTTTTTTTTCCCCAAGAACCTAGGGGAGGTGACCTAAAGACAGCAGAAGGCTATTTGAACTTGGTTAGGGTTATTGCAACTGAATGAATTTTCCCCTTTGTCTCCACAAGTCAATCTAAACTAGGTCTCCTACTTTCACGGCTCCTCGCTCACATCCATCTGGGCAGGAGAGATAAAGACAGACTGAATTTAATTTTCTAACTACAAATGAAAACCATTTCTTTTGACTCAGCACATACTCTTCTCTTAAAAGATTTACGCTGCTGTGCGATGTGTAGAACTACATTATCATCATAAAGAATACAGAGCTGAAGGTTTATTGTCTCTATGTATTCTACATTATGTCAACAAGTTCTATTACGTACTTCCTCCACTAACCAATTCAACTCAGCTCTTTCTGCAAATTGTCATCAAAGGAACATGACACATTACCAGGAATTATACTCATGCTTAATGCATAGTACATTTCTGTTTCCTCTTTGAAAAAGTCTGGTTTTCTTCCTCTTATTATGGAGTAACAGTTCCTGTGTCATGGCCACGGAATTCTCATATATAACTCCCATTCAGTCCTAAATTGCTAAACTCACATAAATTTGTTTACTTCGATGTGTACAGATTAGGTCCTTAGCAGTTTCTCTCTTACACTTATTTATCCCTTTGATGTTTACTGGGTCATGTGAATGAACAACATACATTGCATGCAATCCTCTAATTATCTATTTTACGTAGTCACTAAATTGTTCTCTTACTGAAGATTAACTTTAGCCAATGGAATTAGTACATCTGGGCATGCACGTTTTATTTTCCTTACATGCATCTCACCATGATTACCATGTTCTGACTGGCATTTGGCTAGTGCAAGGACTCATGCAACACATGCTGAAGTAGCCATAACACACAACTGCACTATGCACCAGAACCTGATCTGAAAGAATTAACTCATGCAAATGAAAACATTAAAATATTTAACCCATTTAAAATGTCACTATATGCACTCCATGACTAATAGACCTTGACATTTCTCAAAAAATTAGAACTGTTCTGAAGGATGAAGTGAGGAGAAGGGCCCAACACAGCACTTCGGACTATCCCAGACATTTTAGGGCTGAATCTCCTTGGTCCTGGGTATCTTCAACTCCCTGGGACATCAAGGGAAACTGAAAAGGCTGCTAGACTTCTTGGTTCAGTAGGAGAAACAGAAACCCAAAATATCATTTTTCTGGGGTGGAGGATTTGTTGGATACTGTGAATTCCTATACATCTGAGTCTCCTTTGCATGGAGATCTTCATTCAGGTAGCAGGAGGGCAGAAAAGGATGATGCACACCTGGGCATCATCTTGATAAAGAGTTTGGATGTGGATGGAGTCTACAAGGAGATTTTTTTACTAAAGCCGAAAATTATTATATGAGTAGGAAAGCCTAACCAGTTTGGCTGCAGTTTAAAAAAAGGAGGCAGCACAGGAATATGACAACCACTGTACAGCATCTTTAGCTGCAGTCAAGCCCGATCTAAAATCCACCAAATCGTAAGGCCTCACGTTTCCTACTACATTCTTCTCACAACACTGCAGCACCTACATCATGTAGATTCACCAGACTTCCTTCCTGCATTATTGCCCCAATCGTATTTGCTAACCAAAATATTGGTATGTGCGTACCAAAACAAGATTAATTCTTCTATTTTAACATCAAATCAATTTTTTTACAACATTCTTACTTCTGCTGGGATGCAAAAATTAATCAGGTCATGATGAAGACACTAAAAAAACAGATCTCTCTCTTGCTGAGTGTCTCTTCCACTCCTTAAAAATGACTGAAAGTAAGTTTACTGTCACCTACATAGCATGGGGACTATTTTCTGTAAAATTCTACTCTAGTTCAGCACTGAAAGTTCTTATTTATTTCTTCTGTAAGTAAAGCACAAAAATATAAAAGCTCTCTTCTGATTCACTTTTTTGGGGCAGGGGAACGAAGTGGTGAAGGATTCATTTGACTAATTATTACTTCACACTATACGCAAAGAGACAAGACAGACTTGGATCAAATGACTCATGCAGGATGACTTAATCCACACACGTTAATTAAAAACAAGACTATATAATTTCTTAACGTGTATTTTGTCCTTTCCCTTAAAAATATTGTTTCCTTCATTTTACATAAACAGAGAGCGCAACCTTTCCTCCTGCTAGGCTTGCCTATTTCAGAATGTGTGTAACAAGCATGCACAATCCTTTATGCAAGTAAAGATCCATCACATTTTTACTGATTAGCAGAAGTAATCTACTTGATGAAAAAGATAAATACAGTAAATTTTCTTATAGGATACTATTTCACCTCACTGGTGAAGACTGCATAAATTGAAAATAATTAGAGTACATACACTGTTAGTAGAAGTATGATATCCATAAAGTTGAAGACGCTGACATACAGCAAAAACAGGCCAAGCCAAGTACCACATGTCAGTATGAAGCCAAAAGAAAGGGGGGGGGGAAAAAAGACAACAGAATAGGTTAAGACAAGCAAATCTTTCTTTTATATACTATCAGATTGTTTTGTTTGTTTTTAAAATGATGGTGAAGAAAATATGGTTTATCTTCAATCTCATTCTTCAAATACTCAGAAATACAGAGCTGCAGAGATTACTCTCAGGAGAGATGTTCCACTTTGCAATCTCTAGTTTTCCCAAAAGCTCCTCCTTTGGGTGTAAGCTTCCACTGTTCCGAATAAACAGCGTGTGAGAGATTCAACAATTGACCCACAGTTTTAAAAAGAAGGATAGGTCTCTCTGGGTGGGAAGAAAAGATCCCTTTTTATGTTCAGGGAAGGTTTAAACAGTATTCATTTTTGAAATCCAAACTTCTTCTGGTTTCAGGGACAGAGATCTGAGATCAAGCACCTGTGGTCCCAAAAGGATAATGGGCACTATGAGAAGCTTTGTATATACGTCAAAACATTTCTTATAATAAGGAATTTTTGCCATTAACATGCAAATCTCAAATGAACATGTTTTTTTCTGCTGTGGGTTTGACAGAGCCTTGCCCCTGATTTTTACTTGTCCGACAGTAAATTAAGTTCCTGCTACTGCTGCCATCCTCCAGACAAACCATCACACACTTGTTTATTTCTGACTTACCTTTCTTATGCACATAAAAAACACAGAATTGACATTATATGAGTATTCAATATTCCACAAAAATCTGATCCGATAATATAAACAACTAAAACCATTTTGCATTGGTCATAAGCAGTACTTAAGAAAAAAATTAAACCTGAATATAAAAATCTAAGTTCACTAGTAACATTTCATTAGCTGTTTTAAAACTACTCTGTTAGTAACGAGCATCAGGATCAGTATGTCCACGTAGCTTCAGTTAGTTATGAGAGCAGGAGTATAGGCTGGCCTTGCCACTGAGACGTCTCACTCTTACAGACAGCAACACTGGATCATTACTACTCACTTTTTCCTAGATTTATAGACTTGGAATCAATGCTACTGTCATAATACGTAATACAGTATTTAAACACCAACTTTTCCTTTCAACAGAACACTTAGGTATTTTTTTCTCAATAACTGCAGTTTAGTTTTTTTCTACATATAGTTATGCACATTCCTTTAATGATATTAATTTACTGTTTAAAAAAAAACCTGAAGTGATTACTAAAATACACACACAGCATTTTGTCTTACGCCAAAGAAAAAGACAACAAACCAACTACCAGCTGCAGCTATTCTAATTTTACTTACCAACATTGCACGTTTTTCTTCATCTCCTTTTCTTTCTCTCTTCTCATTTTTCTTCCTGAAAATCTCTTGTAGCTAAAAAACAAACCATTTTGTTCTTCTTTAGCTTTCATACTATTTCACATGCACAACAACCATCCATCATGAGGAACACTGGAAACAGTATTAAAATGTAGTTCTTTATTAAAATACCAGTGTTTCAATGATGCTTTACTGTTCATATTCACGCCTTCATGTTAACCATCACACAGAAAGGAAAAAGGAAATATTTTTTCCACAAAGAAAGGCTAATAATTCTATTTGGGGGCACAACACTAAAAACATCCCATTTAGCTTTACATTTCAGTCGATCCAGCGTATACAAAAAGGGGGAGTTCCAGCCTTTCTCACCACCTCTAGGCACATCCTTTCTTGTCGAGTACTAATTAGTACCTGTGTGGCTACGGAGTCAGCTGGATCCATTTTTTTTTCATATTGTAGTTTCCAACCAGATCCGTTCTTACTCCTGCTGGCACAAGCGAGGGGTGGAAACACCTGGTGGGGGTGAAACCTTCCCCTTCAGCAGCATGAAACTACTACTGAAGAGTAATTTATCAAGTACCCTTTTTTTTTCAAGTCTGTTCAAAGAATACCTTCAGGTCTTGTAAAATACCCCTTTCACAACTTTCTCTACAATAAGAGCTTCAAACTTGACTTCTGAGAAAGCCTCAAATAAAAGATTTAAAACATAGGGATTCTTGAGGGTATCTGTTTTTTGAAATTATAAAATCTTTCGGGTAAGAACTGGTCTGAACTTATCTTTCTTTGTAAGTATCTGTTTTATTTACGTATTTTTAGTTATAGTAATACTTACTAATATACCCAAACCATTTGAACAAAGTGTCACGGTGTTTACTCTTCACAGCAAGAGAGAGCAGTATTACCTATGATGACATCCATATCTCTACCAGCAAACTTCAGCTTTTCAAAAATTGCACGTGAAAATACTGCAAGGCTACTTAACAGCATTTGCTAATCTCAGAGTGGGCTGGAAAAAGCACACACACTGTGGCTGACCAATCTGTCCTGTCTAGAACGTGGTATTTTCAGAAGCAAACCTCATGGCATACAGACACAACTGTGGCAGCCATTTCAACAGCCTGATTTTACCTACCAGGAGTCTGATCCAAACCCTGATACGGTAAGGACATGCACACACAGCTCCCCAGGAATCGGAATGGGAAAGAGAAAGCCTGCGTCATCAGTTTTGCAAGCAAATTTTCCAAATTTAATTTCAGAATATCAAATTTCAGAGAAGGCAGATGACTAAAACGAAGAGATCAGCAAGCTCTACAGCGCAGGTATGACAACACAAATCAATGAATACAGCGTCTAGCGATTAAACAGCAAACGTATTTACAACTACTGTTTTATGAATTTCCAAAATTGACTACAGTGTTCCAGAATTGCCTATAAGGCAAACAGAAACCAGAATATTGTGTGTGTCACTGTATCGATTTTTGAGTATGGGATCAATTTACAGACCTCGGTATGTTTTTTCTGTTTTTTTTGCAAACCTACAGGCACAAATCACCGTTGCCTCTGCTGACAAGGAAAGAGTCACGATAGGATATTTAGCCGGATGGCTGAGAGTATTACACAGTTTGCAACCCTAAACTGGGGAAAGAAGAAAGGTAAATGAAAAGAGAGAAGCAGAAAAAAAATATCTTGTGAAAAGTGAAGTGACAAGCCATCAAGTAGGAGAGAAGAGTGGCAGTAATTGAAAAAACAAAAAAGATGGGGAGAAAGCAATGCATGTGGATATATTTCCCTTACCAGAGAGGCAAAGGGAATAGGATTCTGTTGCATTCATCATTAAAGCACTTGCTAAACTTCTGGAAATGGATCTTTTGTTCAGAAGGAGTGCTACAGGATACCAGCCAGTAGAAAAGCGAATGCAAAGGATCTAGGAGTACTTTCATGGGAACATTGTTCGAAACAGGATAATGAGATTGACTGCTGAAAGCAGCAAAACCCAGATCTCCTGTAACAAGGCAACACAATCCTTCTGTTCCCTGACCTCACCCCGATGACATAAGCAAAGAGGAGAGCGCAAACACCATGGAATTAGTTTACAAAACCACTAAAGCTATTCTCAGAAAAATGAAGTATTTTCGAACTCTTCAGTACATCTCTTCAAGAATCATGTAACAGGCGATCCCTACACCAATCTCCTCAAAGTCTCTTTATTTGCAAAACTGAATGGTATTAGCTATACTTCCAATTCTACGCTAGCTGACTGTAATCAGTGGAGAAGTATTCTGCAAATCCTGGATATACTTCAAATGGCAACACTTACAGTCTCCTGCTTCCAGGCACACAGGAGATGATGGATACCCAAGCAAGGCGAGTACAGGTGCCAGATGTATGTTCTGGGGCCAGGTCTATCACAGCTGCAGCATCACTGAATCAACTTCTGTTTTCATATTTGCTTTTATTTACACAGACATTATCTATCCAGCTACCTATCTATTTTAGTCTTTCTCACTTCAGATCTAACATTCTGACGTATGGGTTTTGATCTAGTTTTTGAAGGGTCACTGACATGGTAATCAAGCAGAGTTAGGGCCAGGTTTAATCTACATAAGTTTGTTAAATACAGTAATAGGTGGAGAATGCTATATCTCATGTCTGCAAATTCTCCTTTCTTTCCTCTATCCACCAAGTCTGGTCACAGAAAAATAATATGAAGGAGAAATTTTTGTCAGGGATCATGACAGAGAACAAATAAAAACCAGGATGTGAAGAGGACTACAGAAGCATTGTTAGAAAGAAAGGTGCAATATCCATAGTTAAATGTTGTCCTTGTTTCCCACCTTATATACTTATTTGATTTCATTTTCAGCATCAGTTTCTGAAAGATAAAGCCTCCTGCTTCAACTCCCTCCCACGTAGCTGTTGTAATGGAAGCCTTTTTTTTTTAAAAAAAAAAAAAAAGCTGTAGGTCTATTCCACCACATTCTGTCATATTGAATCATGAAACACTTTTTTTTTTTCCCCCCTTCTTCCTCTATTTTTCCTTTGGCCAATTAATCCAATGTTAGCTGGCTTCTTCCCCTGACTGGAGGAGATGGTTATTAGGAATTAGCAAACATAAGGATGTGTACATTTAATATTAGAATATAAAAAATTATTAGCATGCCACAATTTGCAAGTGGTGATAGCTTCCGAAAGAAATGAGATCTGTTCTGCTTAAGCTACACCACCGGAAAACAAGCCCCCAGGTCTCCGAGCTCCCTTCCTTGAAAAGGAGAACTGAGGGAAGTTCGGCGTGTTGAGGACAGTTACTTTCACATTTCCATTTTCTTTAGTTAGCATGGCTTATCTGAATCGAGCCTTATAATTTGACTTGAAAATAATTAAGAAACAGAACTCGTTAAATTAGGGTGTCTTCATTTTAAATAAATCATGAGCTTACACTTAAATTCAAACCATGTGTCTGTTGCGTTCTTTATATTTTGTTCCATCTCCTTCTTCAGTAAAGCAGTAGGCTTTTCCTCATACGTATTTACTAAATTTATTTATAAACTCAACTACAAAAATAAGCATGAAGATAAAAATTGATGTCTTCTGCAAATATCTTTTTTTTTTACAAGCCTCTGATTAAAGTGTTATAAATGCTTTTTATTCAATTAATCGCTTGCACACGTTCAGTAGAAAATAAAGGCCTTGTGCAGTCTTCAGAAAGCTTCTCTAAACCACTAACCACAAAATTTTAAATGTTAATTTCTAAAGAAATGTCAAAAACTATGTTTGCCATAACTGAGTGTTTCAGTGTAATCCGAGACATCTGCTGCATATGGACATTACCAATTCAGAACTCTGATGTATACTGTATTGTACAGTTTGCTAATGTAAAGCCACATAGTCATTGTAAAATCACAAGCCCTAAATTTGAGTGGGAAATCTTCTGCTTTTCATGATTCAAAAAAAAAATGATCAATATTTAACTTCATCACCAACACTAATTTAGAACAGCATTAATTATTCCTCCTTTTTTTAAAATCAGAAAATAAATGAAATAAACATAAATATGAAATAGCCCTCTTGTTCAAAGGCTTTTTCATTTCATCCTTGTCAGTGCAAACATCATTCTCCTGTATTTAGTGGATCCTATCACCTGAAAACTTATGAAGTATTTGAATTTTAAGATGCAATTATCAGATTTATCATGAGCAAAATCAAAATATAGTGGATGATGTAGGATTTTTTGAAGATTTTTCTCTCAAGTGCCAAATTCTTCTTAATGCAAAAATCTCAATGACATGTGAAATAAGCTAATACTTCTTTCTACATCTGGGCTTTTTAAAAACTGTTTAAATTTCTAACCAGAAGAAAAATAAACTCTCTGCTTAAATAATTAGGAAGAAGAAATTACAGAAATGCTTCTTCCAAGTAATAAACTGAAGAAAGCTCTAGTTTAAAAAATACTGTAATTCCGATTTGTAACGCAACAAAACTTTGGATGCAACAAAACTGTTGCCAAGTTATAATGTCCTTCTGCCAACTGTTCCAAAGCACGTGAAAATTATTCAGCTCAAAGTCAATTTTGCTATCAGGAATATTGTCCTTAAAAAGAAAACACTGAACCCCAGCTTCACAAATTACTTCAGCATATGGATTTCCTGGGATGAACTAGACGTTATGTACAGGATGTTTAATTTTATTATTTATCTTGCTCAAAACAGATGATAGCATCACATTATGTCCATCATTATTTTCAGGTCATCTGAAATTATAAGCAGAATGAATGACAAAGTGAAGTGGTCTCCCAGGATAAGATGATTTTGCAAATGCCTCCATCATTCTGGCAATTAAATAATTCTGCTGACCACTGATACAGCAATATTATCTTAATAAACTAATTATCTGTGCATGTAGTACTAATTAAAAAGATCCAGAATAAAAAAAGGAATTAAGCTTCAAAAATCATTACACACAACACACTTGTGCACTGTAATAAGGAGCCACTATTTACAATTTTATAAGGCAAATAAACAACTACATTTTGAAGAATAGCTCATGTTCTCATTATTGACATCATTATGAGTCTCAATCCAGACAAAAACAAGAATTTCAAAATTACATAAAAATATTCAAAGACTGAAAAGATACATACCACTAAGAATTCCTTTTTGTCCACCATCTCATTGCCGTCAGTATCAAACATGTTGAAAGCGATTCTAAAACCTGCATGTGGCTCTGTAAAAAAAAAAATCCCATTCAATTATTTATCTGCTTGGAAAGAAAACAAATATAAAACTCTAAGAAATTATTTGGTGTCTGTTTATAAGAGCCATATTCTCAATTAATTTACATTAATACATTTGTGTACATAGTAAATGCAAATCATAACGTCTGTAAAACAACATTATCCACATTATGGAAACAGAAGTCATGCTCACAAATTCTTAGATTAGGGGAAATAGACAGTAGCAATAGAATAGAACATGAAATATCCAAGAAGAATATCTCACAGTAATGGCTGACTGGGTAGCTAAGAGTGTTAGTTCATAACTATGAGTCCATTTTATGTTACAAACCACAAATTTGTAGAAAATAAATTTTCCATGAAAACGCAGTGTTCTAAAAGACACTTTACAAATTTTGCAAAAAAGGTACAGGATGAAACTTCTGGTCATAAGAAATGATGTGTTGAAGGAGACCCAGAATTTCTTATTTACATGCTTAAAGTCACTGAAATTTGAAATCAGGTTAGAATTTGAAATTATTCCCAAAACATGAGGACTTTGAAGGTAACTGTAAGTGAAGCATTTAAGCAACAATTTGGCGATACTCAATGATTTGCAATATGGATGAACTATGGCCAAAAGTTAGTCCAGATAACAAAGAAATGATGGAAGACCATCTATCGATCCACCAGTTAGGGATTGTAGTTGTTCAGGGTCAAGTTCCTGCTCCGATCCACAATACGTTTCCAGATCATGTCTGAAAAACCCCCTAATGAATCCAACAGAAATGTTTTAATTGCTTTTAAATGAAAGACAAGTAAAACACTTTGCTCCTTCCCAAAAGACACCTCTTCAAATATCAAAACAAAGTCTGTCTCAGGCTTAGTTCACTCTAAGTCATTCTAGTTTGTTTTTATGGGTGGCAGAAGAATAAGTATTCAATTTTGTTAGTGTTTTCTAACATAAACTTTTAGTTTAGTTTGACAGATTTTATATTTTATCATTGCCTCACTGATGTCACCCATTAAGCGCTAACAGGTGAAACAAATCAGTAAGAATGTATATCTTTCTCTTCTCCCTATATTCAGGGTCCTTCATGAACTTCAATAAATTCAGCTAGAAATTTTGTAAGAATTTCAAAGAAGAAAATAAATTGAAGGTCTTAACTGGGGTTTAGCTGAAGCGTATGGTTCAACTTTCTCAACAGTCAGTAAAAGTGGTTATAGTTAATAAAGCACTTAAATAAAACGTAACACAAGATTCCAGTAGGAAAGGAGAGGTTTAAATGGACATAGAGATGCACGATACATATTTTTTTCCCACGTTGGGATATGCGGAGGAGGGGAAGAGTATTGTAACGTACAGCAACAGATTCAAAACTTAGAAATTTCTAAAGGAGGTTTTGGGATTTTTCCTCCAAAAATACTTACTTGTTAAAATACATAGGAGAAATAAATATTCTGTGTAAGATATCACACCTAAAGACAAAACAAAACAAAAAAAGCGGTATTAGTTTCACCTTGTCTTCACATCCCAAACTTGAAAGTATTAACTCTATGTACAAGACGGAGAATTTTTCCACATGTGCATATGCATATTCATACTTGTGTGCATGTGACTGTATCGAACCTGGTCAATGAGTTATTTGTCTAAAATATTGATCTATGTGGTGGGGTTTTTTGTTTGGGTTTGAGTATTTTAGGGGAAGAATATACATTAAATGTTGCAAATAAACAACTACAGTCAGTGGAGAATGGCTCATTGAAAAGAAGCTAGCTAGATTCTTAGAAGCTAATATAAATGATTTATTTGATTTTCTTTCTGAAAACCCCACCAATAATTCATGACAACACTCTCTAACAGTATGAGAACATTTACTCTGAGAACATTCATAGTGCTCCCTCCTGGTCCATATCATTTGAACACAGTTCTTGACTTCAATACATGCTTTATAAGTGCACGTCCTGTATTAATCAAAAACTTGGCCTCGTATTACTTACGAAAGCATAGATTTGGGCTTTTGAGTTGTATTTACATGCACATTTTCATAATCATCACCTGAAATTTAGATTAAAACTCTTACTAAATGAATGTGTAAATTTTGGTAAATATTTTAAAGCCTGTTAGAGACATCTGTACCATCTCTTCTTCCGCATTCAGAAGACCTGTAAGGAATACATTCCCAGCTTTTCATCTCGCCTTAGATGTCAAAAGGCAATCACAGTGTGGAATACCCAAATAGCATGTCTGGTACCACAAGCTGCACTTCTGCTTTTCTAGCTCTGGGGTGGAGAGATAACCTTGCAGCGTGCCCATGGTACCAACGAAGAGAGGCATCTTACAGTTCAGTAAGAAACGACCTGCAGCTCTCCCAAAAGCCCTTAGCTCTAACAATCTCTGAGGCTGAACTAGCAACACTGGTTCCTGACTTCTAACCAACTGATTTTGTCTGGCCTCCAAAACCAAAAGAGTTAAGTCAGTCCACAACATCAGACTATTTCAAAAGAGTAGGAAAAAAAAAAGGTATGTAGATGCCTGACAGTAAAGATGTCTATCAGCTGGGATTTTCAAAAGTTGCTGGCTGCCTCCTTGATTTCAGTCCAAGTCAGGTGCAAAAGTTTTTAGAAAAACAGCCATGTCTTTGGATGTTCAAATATCTTTTAAAATCTGGCTTAACTGAATATGTGACAGACTATGTAAACAGTCAACTGATTTTTTTTCACCGAAAAACCTGCACAATGAAAACTTAAAACACTGTATCATTCATGTGGATTTTACAACTACTGAACGCATTTAACATCAGCACTTTCAACACTGCCAAAGTAAGAAACGTTGACATTTTCTACTAACATTTACAGCACAAAAGGTTCTAAATTAATTCTGTCCTGAAATAATACTCAGAAGAGACTTTCTGCCCTCTTGAATAGCTGAGATACAAAAATCTCAGCTCTGTTTCTCTTGGATCTGTCCAACTGTCCAAATGCCTCCCCAAACCTTCAATCACGCAATACTCCTCCCTAAACGCCGACTATCCTGAAAGAGGAGCACTTTCAAGAGAATCAGATCTCCTACCCTCAAACATGAAAGAAAAAACGACCAACCACAGAGATCTCCACAGGTATCACAGAGACTGGAAGATAAAGGTAACACAAAAGACAGACAGTGAACGAAATTCTCTTGGGAACCAAATCACATACTAGAAAGAATCACTAAACCCCTCAACTTTTACCAGCTGAAACGCTGCCCTCCCAACTTCCATTCCACTCGTGGAAAAAGAAGATATTTTCCCACCTTTTGATCCAAGAGCAAATATGTCTTCAGAACCAAGATTTTACTATTGCTAGTAGATCTAGTTAGGAAGGCTACTATGTGTTACTAATACAAACTACCCTTTTGCTCAATTTACACATAGCTCCACAGTGAAGATTAGCAAAGTCTAAATGCAGGCACTGAAGTAACACAACGCTTTAGCTTCTTGGTTTTATACAACAGCTTGCAGAAATTAGTTTTCAAAGGCCTGCTTGAATCTGTTTGGACAAGTAGCTATCAAGAAATCAGACACCTCAAATGTTCTCATTCAGTGATGTAAAACGCTCTTTAATAGCCAGTCAATAAATGTAAATATGTATTTTTGTTTGTTTGATGACACCTTCTTTGTCGTAAAACTGAGGAAGAAAGTGCAATTGTCAAACAGTCCATCACAGGTATGAAGGGAACAATATAAAAGGCCTTGCAAGCCTTCCCTCCTTTTGTTTGTACTGGTATATTTTAAGATAGTTCTGGTTGATTGCTCGGAGTGTTATGGGAGAGAGGCTCTGAAATGATGACTGAATGGGAAGAAAAGCTTACTCTTAGATCACAAAGAGAGAGAAGTCACTCAAGGTAAAACACAAAAATAAAACTTACGGACAACTGCCATAAATCTATGTGGCTCATCTGACTTAAATGAATCTATGGTAAAATAAATGGACATAGGCTTTTGCTACTTGTTTCACATTAAAATGTACATGTTTTAAAGAAAAGGAGTAAATCAGTCTTGGAGTGTTCCTGTCATGTACTAAATAAACACTAAATTAGAATTAAGGAAACCTGAATTGTATGCCCATTCCTTTCACTGGCTTACTGAACGACCTTATCAGCCACAAGACCCATCATCTTTTCTTATATTACCTATAAAATGGGATGACGGAACGCACTTATTCATAAAGCATGCTGAAAAGCTATGTAAGTGCTAAAGTTTATTACTAATTTTACCAGCTTATTACGTCAGGTTTGAGGCCTCTTAATTACATCAACTTCTGCAGAATTTCACTGGCAGAAAACTGGAGGAAGATCTTGTTGAATCAAGACTGCATGTTGCAGACATTTTATTACAGACTTCATAAGCAACATCCAGGTACATTTTTTTAAAACCGATAATGTATTGATTTAACAGATTCTGAAGATGAATTTTTATGTAATAAATATTTCAAAAAAGTCAGCTGTCCTGACTATACAGAGAGCAGCCCAGAGCAAGGACATACAAGGAAATACAGTGAGAGAAATGCCAGTTGCTGCCTCTCAGGAGTTCGGGCTGCAGACTCAGGGAAAAAAGTGAGTGCCTCCATGCATCAGAGATTCCAGCCTGGGGCTTACTCCTTTCATGAATTTGATCTGCATTTAAATTAGATTCATCAATTACATGCAAATGTATGATTGTACTTTTGTTGCTGGCATGCTTATTTTAAACATTCATAAAGTGTCTTTATAAAATAGCAAGTACTTGTGGCTGCTTTTAAAAATACTTAAAATGCTTCACCAGACCTTTGCCATTCTGAGTATCAGCAAAGGAAGATATGGATTATTTACCATAAATAGCTTTTAAGTGTCTGTACACAAGCCATCATAGCATTTTTTTCCTGTGTTTTTTTTTTTGTTTTGAAGTGATGGAGCTTATTAAGAAAGAACAAAAAAAAAAAAACAGAGGAGACCACGAGTGTCTCGTGGCTCTTCCTTTGTCAAAAGTGTGTGTTTTAAAAGCTATCAAAAGCCTCAACTGCAGAATTTAAAGGGACATACAGCATTACTGAAACTGTCTCTTTGTGTTGTGAAGAAAATGCTTGTTCAATAATATAAGATAACATTACTTTCCTTAAAAATAACCACATCTTTGAACCCGTTAAGAAAAGTAAAGAGATATTATGTCTTTGTTAGAATATTCTATCTATCGTCTATAAATCATCCTTCATTACAACAAATGGAACTTGGAACACTCAAACATCACTTCAAGAAACTCTAAGACAACAGTTCACTTAAAGCGGCTAGCTGGAAGATGGCACAATTAAAACACTGTAGAGACTAAAGGGAACTATTCCAAGCTGTAAAATGTAGCAAGCAACAAACACTTTTTATCTTTTTGAAGCTGTGACTCAGATTGAAGTACAATATCATTTTAGCCACAATACATTAATACAAGTGATAATTTGGTTCAGGAAAATAAATTCTTCTCCCTCACCTTTCTCATTAAGATTACGGAAAAGTTTGGATGATCCTTTCCAAACTGGTGGTGTCTCCATAAGGATCTGATTCAGTTCCTAAAAAATAAAATCACATATTTAAATATCTAATGAAGCAGTTGACAGATTATGAGCAAATGCTAGCAAATCACTATAAAAGACAAGGAACAGCATGCAAATCTACCACTTGATTTAACTTTGGTTTACCACAATGACTTTGGAAGTACTCAAGCACATCCATAAATTTTGCACACATGATTATTCCGATTTTTGATCATCTACATGAATACAAAGTGTTTGCAGAGCTGGAGAGAGACATGTAACGTATTTGTTGCTGGAATTACTCAGCACTGCTCAAATTCACTGAAGACGAGGATAAGCCCCCCTGGATTTCAGTCAGGTTTTCATACAAGCTCCAAGCAACTGTTCTTTTAAAACACTCAACCTGAAGTAAAGCAAACTTCACCCATGAATATGAATGTACTTTGCTTAAAATACAGGGATACAGACAGTCTTTTTGCAGTTCAAAAAAAGAGTAAAAGGCACTTAAATATCACAAAAAGTACACAGAGGTGCATGAGTATTTCAGGCAGCTTTCGATACACCTGTTACAGTTTTAGACACTAAAGAAAGTCAGATACGGGCTGAGAAAGGAACTGATGGAGGCTTGCGGACGTCAGTAAATCTAGCGCAACAGGCACAGCTGCTCAAGCATCTTTGAGATTCTGGATTCAACTGAGTCTGAAGGCACAAACCCGAAGAAACTAAAGTCTCTCCTTTTTTTTGTTTTTAAACAAAGATTTTAAAATTACCTTATTTCTCCTGTGACTAAGTCTACAACAGGAAAAAAAGTAAATGTATCCACATCTATGCTTATAAGACAGCACGGGAATTATTGCCCACCTGCTTGGAAAGGGATCGCCACTTTTTAGCACCTGCAACAAAAGACAAAGTTATGAATGCACAGAATTAAGTTACGCCAATGTGGCATCATAAAAATAAGACTGCATCTGTACTGTGTTTTCTAGCCAAAGAAGAGGTATTCTCCCTACTTCATGAGGCTCATCTTCAACCTGGGTCCAAAAAATTCTCTTTATGTTATGAACAAAATAATTAGCTTAACACATACCTAAACTCCTAACTTTAAAGAACCAATTCAGATGTATAGTTTTTAAGCCAACTTGGCTTCAGTGAGAGAAAAGACATTCTACCTCCAAAATAAACCATTAAAACACTAAACAGGAAACAGAGGGTGTTCGTCCTAACCTGTGGTATTAATATTCTGAAAAGATTATTTAGTAGCAGCAGTATCACAATGCAGATTGTAGGGAGACCTGGATTCTGGCCCTTGTGTCAGGGACTACTCATACCTTTTAAAGCAAACACAGAAAAAAATCCTTGAAACTACACCAGGTGCTACGACTTCCTTCAGCCATTCCTAGTAACTCAGATTCATCCTTCCTTTTACTCCATTTTGTGTAAGTAGGAGCTGATGAGGGCCTCCAGTTCAGGAGGAACGGCTCGTTCGCAGTGAAAACTGATGAGTTAAGACCTTACTGGGATCTTGTAAATATCTTAAGGGTGGGTGTCAGGATGGGGCCAGACTCTTTTCAGTGGTGCCCAACAACAGGACAAGGGGCAACGGGCACAAACTGAAGCAGAGGAAGTTCCATCTGAACATGAGGAAGAACTTCTTCCCTCTGAGGGTGATGGAGCCCTGGCACAGGCTGCCCAGGGAGGTTGTGGAGTCTCCTTCTCTGGAAATATTCAAGACCCGTCTGGACGCGGTCCTGTGCAGCCTGCTGTAGGTGACCCTGCTTCGGCAGGGGGTTGGACTAGATGATCCGCAGAGGTCCCTTCCAACCCCGAACATTCTGTGATTCTGTGAAGACTGAGCAGACGCTTTCTTCCTAATGCCTTACGTGACAGACTCCAGGAGCAGAGAAAGGCACTCGCCTCCGACAACAGTTGTCCACAACCATCCAAGAATTCAAGACCTGAGGTTCATCACCACCGTCTCAAGACAAACATTTGCACAGATTCAATACTAAGATAAAGCACTGTGAATACCAGAATTCACAAAGGTATAAAAAGTAGCAGAGCATGTGGTCAAATCCGTAACTTCTTGGTTGGTAAAGGCTCATTTTTACAGAGCAAAACACTCTGTGGTATTAGAAATCCCTTCCTCATGATGAACTCCATGCTCTGTTAAATAATTATCATGATACAGAACCTACTCATCATGGTCTTTCATCAGTTCACGGTGAGAAACTCACTGAAATTTTAGTTTTACATCTTGGTAAAGGTTAGCACCAAGACTGTCCACAAACCCCACTCTAACTATGATGGAGTTGTATCAAGCAACATCATAAGAGCTAAGAGATTTTCATATACTTTTCAGTTTAATTTTTTCATGACAATTAAAGTCTTGTCTCAAAATACTAAACAAAACCCCCCAAACCAACCTCATTTGCCATACAAATTGGTAAATGTTTATGCCTACCATAAAAAACTCAGATGATAAATATATCTAACTTTTCAATCAGATAATTTCCCAGTCTTATACATTATATATAGATTTTCTTTCCAGACAAGCAAATGAAGATTTCTGTGTATATACATTCTTCTTACAGCTCAGTATTAAGGTAAAATTACTATACTTAGAGCTAAAGGGAACAAAATATATTTCCCCTTAAGTGGCTTTCTAAATATATAAACCCATATTCAAATAATAAAAATATATCAAGCATGACTGTTAAAAATATTGTATTGTCCCAAAGGAAAGCTTGCACCATAAAGGCAGCAGCAACAACTTAATTACTGCATTCACTTTATATTTTTTATAATAACTGCCTGGAGTCAAAAGTTACATTCTGTAAAAGAAAATATACTCTGACCATATTAGTTAGTGTTTAATCAAAAAAGGAAGTGAACACCCTCTTGACTTTTGTAGGGTTTACAAGATTTCCAAAGTAAATCAATCACAATAGACGCATTCACTCCACGACAAATCTCATTCAGGTCTAGTATTATTAGCTTTTCTATAAAGCAGACATAAAGAGCTACTATTATTACTCTTCAAAGGGCATTTTTGCTTTTTGACAAAACTCAAGACCTTTCTAGTCTTCATCCACAAAAAAAAACCCCAGGTGCATGTTCTTTTTTTTCTGTGAAATACAGATGCTCTAGTATGACAGCCTGAATGGACCCAATTATTTATAACTTGCAACTTATTAACAAAATGATCCAAAATACAAGATAAGCTGTTTAGAGTGTATTCTTTTATTCAGAAAAATACCTTACTTAAACTTACTACTTTCAATAAAGCAAGACAGAAAATTAAGACTTGCCCAAACAGACAAAGCGCTACTTTGACAAAGCTGCTGTACAAAGGTTAAAGTTAACACAGTCAGGGGCCAGAGGCTGGAAGTGTAATCTGCAGGTCACCTACTCCATCTACTACTGCCTGCCTGTCAGCCTTCCGTCCAAATGGCCCAGACAACAGAACCTCCACTACCATGAAGTCATCCACTTCTACTTAGTTACAGCCTCTCACAGTATCCCTTAAAATAATGATCAGAGTCAGGTAACCTCTGACACTAGTCTGTAAAACTAAAGGACATCCAGGTTAGTTTTGCCGTCTGTCTGAGAGGTGAACTGGATGTACAGGAAGGATTTGATAGAAACAAGGTTTGCTGCACTGAACTCAGAATGGTGCCTGACTGTTCAACTCCAGATTTGTTCTTTGGCATGAGACGAGCAGAATGCCCTTGTGAGTTTATCGCTTTTTGGCTTTGTGTTTTAAAATCTGAATACTTGCTGTGAGAGAGCAGGTGGCATAAAATTTCACTGGCATGGAAAAATCTTAATGGCAAACCACACATACAGTGTGGTGAAACTGTTACAAAATGGAGTTAAAACAAAATGTTCAACTGATGTCCAGTACACAGCACAAAGGCTTCAGGACCATACATGGTACAATCCGATTCCACAGTATCAAAATAAGGAAGGCTTGGAGATCTGGGCAGAGGAAGCAGATATAAAGTGCTGATGTGTGTTTGTATTAACTTCTGTGATAAGGAATTTGCTGCCTCTCTTTTAACTGCAGAGCAAAAAAAAGAAAAAAGAGAATAAAGATTTGCCTTCTGGTAACAGTTTCAAAGTTTTGCAAGTTTTCACCATCTAACATCTGTCTTCTGTCTTCACTGTTAGAATGAGATTATATCTTTATTCAAAAGTTACAGAAGTTTTGATCAGTGATGTGCCATGGCTGAATTCTTTCCTCTTGTTTCATTACTGTTAAGAGAACAAAGGGAAAATATCGAACATCTGCACAGAGCTTTAAGCTCTCCTCTGACTGTTTTAGCTACTTTTGACTGTTCTCTACACTAGCTTTGTGGTGCAGACTCTGGGAAGAAAGATGTAAGGTGAGTCATTACACATGTCACACCTGAGCAAAGACATTCACTTTCCCCAGAAGTTGTGTGCTGCTCCCAATGCGGCGCAAGCCTGAGGGCCAGGAAATCAAACTAGATCAGAAATGGATCACCTTACTATTTAGTCGCCCTTTGATACGCAAAGCAAAACTTTTGCAATAAATGAACTAAAGTTGCTAGTTAACATTAACATATTCATATTTCATTAACATAGTGCTAACTCTGGCAACTTTTAAGTGTGAAAGAGGATCCCCTGTGGGGATCTCAGAGTACGTTATTTAGAAAGATGTGACACGGTTATAAAATCTCTGTAGGGCAAAAAAACCCCAACACGACAGCAGATGACAATTTAAGATGGCAAAAACTGCAAAACAATGTTACTACGAATTATTTAGGGAAATCGTATCCTGCCTGCCTATTTACACAGACACTATCCAGAAGAGGTAAGCGCTTTACAGCAATACCGGCCTGCCTAGGAAGAACCCGTAACTGTAACCGTGTCAATGCACATGGTACAAATGAACTTCTTGTCTTTCATGCACGTCAAGCTGTCGTGACCTCCAAGACAAGAACGTTTAACTAATGACTAGTATACAGATATTTATAATCTAATAACAACCACGATACTGATTGCATGCACTTGGATACCATTAAAAATAAAATTCTGGAAGATGCAGCACCTTTTTACCAAACAAGAAACAGAAGTAGTAATCAAAAGCAAAAATAACATTCACCACTGGCATTTTCCCTAGCAATTTTATCAATATAAAACTCCTGCTTACGTTTGGGTTCATCATTTGTGACAGCCTGAATGAAGTCATATGGAGTCATATAGAGCTGTCCTTCAAATTCTAAACTGGCAAACCTACGAAACCGTTGCTCCCGAGGAGTTGCATAAAGGTGTAAATCTTCAAGGTCTGATCTGTTTTCTGTAACCTTCAAAGACAGAAGGAAACAATTTTAATGTATGCAAAAAGTTTTGGTTTACAATTGCCACTGCCATTCACCATAAAGAAACTGTAAATGTAAAGGTGATAATTCATAAAGTCAGATGCACCCAAATATTTTTGTACAGTAAGAGCTGAAACTACAATTGGGATTTCACTGCCATCCTTTTCAGTCTTGTACAATTCTACCAGTAAATCTCCATGCACTGAAATTGTTGACACCACCCAAGCTCCGGGGGAGGGAAACAAAAAAGAAGAAAAAAGAGAAGAACTTAGGCTCTTAAATCATAGAAAAAGGGGCAACTTTAACGCAACAAAGTCCATGTAATTCAGCAGTTTGACTTTAAACAACTCTGCTAGAATTACTTCAGTTGTCTGACATTTCCAAAAGAGAAGGGAATAACACTTTTTTTATATTGCTTCTTAGTGTAGAGTGTAGCTGTTGACAACAATAGGCAAGAAACCTCCGTTACAGACGCCAGCATAAATCTTCCACGGATACTGCTATTTCAATTATCCAATGCAATTAAAGCTACCATACTTGGGGGTACAGAAGAAGAGAAGAGCACAATTATTCCTCCAGACTTACAGAAGTACTACATGGCACTAAGTTCACACCTCATGAGAGTTTATAGATGTCAGGAGTTTCTGGTTTATGCACCATCCAGATGATTTACATGCAAATTTAGTAGGGCAAAACTATAAGTTGTCTGAACTATTACATCTCTGTGTTACACTGCCAAACCTTGAGACAGAAAATGCGCTACCGCTATCTAAAAACTTTTTTTAGCCTGTAACGAGGCAAGCTCCTCTGTGGAATCAGTATCTTAAGAAAATGTAAGTATATTGAACTTTTTTTCAGAGATGAAAAAAAACAACCCAAACTGTTTCATAAAAGGAAGAGCAATGACATAACTAATGTCTCCTGGTACGCTAAAATAGGAATGCAGCATCTTATCAACGAACTACCCCAAGCTGCCAGTGTCCTCACTATTCTTGACATTTCATACAGTATCCCTAATACTCTTCAGGTGTCCAACTAAGGAAAGGCAACAAGTAGCACACGGTTTAACTAATATCTATGTTTTAACATCTAAGAACAAATCCAAATAAACTCTGTTATTCAGAGAGGCATCTAAACACAAAGAGAAGGTGGGAGATGTCTGCAGTTGCTGTCCCCTAAGAGAGAACAGTCCTTAACCACAAATGGAAATTGGTTTTCCAAAAGCGTTCTAAGAACAGGTTTCAGATTTCATCAAGTAGAAGCAAAGGTACATTTATATTGCTGAGTAAAAAATCTGGGCTCGCGTTCCTTCTGCTTTCCAAACAATGTCCTTAAAAAATAAAACATTAGTAAGACTACCGCAGTGAAACAAAATTTTATGGCCTCAGTTGTTGCTAGGAGATTAAATTATGTTTGTAAAATAGACACATCAAAAATTAATGTGTCTAGAAGAGGTCAAACACCTTCTATTTGAAAAAAAAACAAAACAAAAAGTCACATGTATCACCACAATGTAACAGAAGACTCACAATTTCTTGATTTTATATATGGGAGTCTTAGTACTTTTTAAACACCCTTCTAGAAGGAAAAAAGACTACTGACTGTGTAGTTCACTTTCTGGGTTGTCTCTTGTACCATCACAGAAAGTAACAGAAATGCTTATACAATAATTTAATTTTCAGTAGACTGCTCTACAGACAAATATTCTGCACTTCTGCCTGAGAAGCAGCTTTAAACCTGGTCTTTGTGGTTTTTATCATTTTGAAACCATTACCAAATTAAACAGGGGGAGGAAAAAAAACCAAAACAACACAGCCAGACCTACAAACTCAGCCTAGCATGACAGAAAAAAGCTGAATTCTCTTCTGACATACTCACATACAAGCCAAAATATTTCTGCCCTGTCTCACTGTTTGTATATTATGGCCTTACCGGTCCTTCAGCAGTCCAGTAGCATTCACGCTACGCCTTCTTGTGGGATTTACATGACTCAATTGTTCTGGTAGAGCTTGTAGTGACATAACTGATTATCTCTGGATTTGCATTTTAATAATCTATCTTCTTTCTGATACATGTTCTTTCATCACTATTGCAAGCGTGCTTTTGAATATATGCAGGTTGTAAGAATAAGTAATAAAGCAATATTTCTGCAACGTTAATTTTCAGAGAAGAAACTGCTTCAAGGCCATATTACACATGCAGTACGTATTGTAACATGCAGTATGTATTGTATTATTTTAATCAGTCATAATCAATCATAAATAATCAGGGGAATCTGTAGATAATGTATCACTTAAGAAATACCATCTTAGTGTTGATCACTGTTAGTATTTGGAGAGCACGCTGAGATTCTTCGCTCTCTCAAGAAATTCACACTATCTCAGGTACTACTGCTTAATGCTTCGCTTGAGACACTTCCAAAAGCATTTGCTAAATTCTCAGACACATGAATTCAACATTATCTTAACTACTCTATGCTACTGTAAGTATAAAATAACATACTGCAAACATGCAATTTTCAAGACACGCTGAAGCTTAACTCAAGCCAGTACTCGGGTCTGCAAAGCCTTCATTTCTGCCTCATTTTACCCAATCTACATCTTCCCTCTGACTGTACAGCAATGCCAATATTTCATGCTCTAGCTCAAAGTCGTTGTAACCTGGTAGGACTCCAGGCTGCCACCAAAGAGAGCAGCACCTCCCCAAAGGCTCAGCACCCCGCACGCCCTTGCTCTGGCGCTTTATGTTCATTGCTCCGAGTGTCAAACTGGTTAAGGGAACTGGTCTAAGAAGCTTGTTTTCGTGTGTTATTTTTCAGCCAGACAAATGCCTGGATCTACCCCACAAGAACAGTTCTTTGTTTCAATACCCAGGCCACAAGAACTTGCAGCTGACGGAAAAGAAAATCTCACCTGTTCCAGCAGCAAGCTCCACCTACTCCAAGTTAAAGCCATGGGAAAACTGCAGGCTTAAGCATAATTTTATTCTAAGGAGTAAAAATACCACTTCTTTTTGAGCTTTGTGGGTTTATCTGAAAATATCAAAACAGGTTGTTTCTGCCGTTGACCCAACACAAACTCAAACAAATACATACAGGGCTTAACGTCTATTAGATCACTGGTTCACACACCAAATGTCCAAATAAAAGCAAGGTCTGGCTGCAGAAAACTCCAGGCAAGCACCCTAGCAAACTGACAAATAAAACCATCTTTGGGAATAATGTTCTTTTATTTCCAAATTTCTTGCTCAGAGCTTTTCTTCTTCTATTACTCCTTAGCATTTTACGTACCATACAGCAACTATAAGTCTCTTGCATAAAAGCTTTAATTATTAGAAACTAATCAATACACTAATTAAAAGCCAAGCTATTCTAAAGTAGGACCTCAATTTGCACCTCTTCACGCATTCACTTAAGAAATTGGTCTCAACACATAACTATGAAACGTCTCCTGTTTTCCAAGACATCAGCAGATCATAATCCAGTGAGGCAAGTATGAAAATCGTGGTGACACCAAGTGCTTTCAACTGATTTATTTCATATTTATGCCCAGGTTAGGCAATCTTATTGTAGCCGCATCAGTATCAAACCCAATGGACACATGAACAAGACGCAGAAATGAGATGCTTCGTACCTCAGGGAAGGTATTGTTAGTGAAGGAGTGAACAGGATTCAATAAAATTCTAATTTCTATTTGAAGTTTTAAGAGCTTATCCAGACTAAATCTCTCTGTAATTACCAACAATCTTCAAAAACTTTCATGAAAGCACATCTCTCTGACAAACAAAAGAGGGGAGATTTTTTTTATGCTTCTGTTTACTAATCCTCTTGGCAATCCTGCCTACTAATGACTATGATCCTGTATCATGTTATAGTTCTCTGCCTTTTAAAAACTGGACATGGCCATTTCCTTCAAGCAGAATGTCACGAATCTCCCAACAGCTGTACTATCTTCATTTTAGGCATAGCTGGTTAGCTCTGGTTTACCTGCACGTGTACACTGACCTATTTTGCCGTTAGAATTTCAAGGGAAAAAAAAGCCCCGCAGCTGAAACCAAAAATCTAGGTGGTAGCCAGAATTTCTATCCTTCCTTCACAACTCATGGTAAACAAGAAGAGGCAAGACTGAAGCTCATCAGCACTCACGAACAATATACTATCTTTTCCCTATTCTGAAAAAAAATCTAAGTGTTAACAGTTGTAATCAAACAGCTCACGGTTATCATCCTTCTGCCCTTCCTCCCTCGAACTCCTGTACCTTGTCGCTCCGTATTCCACCTCCCACTCCCCATTCCCCTGTGCCGGACCCCTGCAGAAGCACTGCAGTGGGAACACAGTACCTTTCTGGGGTGCCGATATGCACGGTCTCAGCTTCCACCTGCCTTCTGCAAAACCAAGAACAGAGACTGTGTGGCTCTTCTAAGTGCAGTTTAAACCAGCTGAGGAGAAAAAATGATCTTAGCCTATTTTCTTGCTGTTCCTCAACACAAAAATGTATATACATGTACCTAATTCTCATACAGAGGAGACATTTCAAAGCACTTTCTAAAATGGATTAAACGGATTCAGCACTTATATGCAAATGACCACCAGGCAAAGGAAACACAGGGAAACATTTCCCATAAGAAAGTCCATTTTAACATCAGCTTATCAAAACAAGGTAAGTAAAACTTAAATTGAAGACCAACTGGTAACCTGGCAGGGAACTTCTCTGAATGAAGAGTATCACATGTCAACTACGTCTGCTTCCCTCATAAATCTATGCCACAAATGTCTTGCAAACAGCCTAAAAAAGCTGGAAAAGGCCTCCAAACTTTCAAATTTATTACGCAAATAAAAATATTATGATAATGCTCCCCCATTAACGTATTTTGAGGACTTAACAGAATTCCTTAAAAACTTTTTTCCAGAAGTACGACGTTTTGAGAGGGCCATCTAAAGCTACAATAACACCACCACATCTCATCACCTTTATTTTCCAGTCAACCAACACTGAAATCATTCCTCGCAGAACCTCTTTTAGAATTATATCCCTCTGTATTTTCTTCCTGTATTCACAGCAGAAACTTGAGGGAAGAAAATCCAGACTTTCCATCAAGCAAAATTTCTGTGCAAAACTCATTCCCATTTTGGGTTCATCTTCCACGTACTGCGTCTATTGATGGAGACAAGTCAAAATGCCCTGGAAGTCTGGTGCTCTCACCAAAGGCTTCCATGTATTACTCGAACTTCCTTGAAGCAGGGGCTAATCTCCATTTCTGCTCCCATGTTTGTCTTCCTGGCTCTCTTACCTCAGAGATATGGTCTGTCCGAATTTGGCATAATGTGAATTCAGCTGTACGGTGTTCCAGGGAAATCCATGCAATAACTCTACATTGCCGTACAATGGCCTAACACGGGACATGAGCTCACAGAGTGACATTAAAGTAACTCACTTTTTGCAGTAGTTATGACCCCAAAGTACTTGAAAATATCAACAAGTGGTAATGATATGGCTCAGGTTCAGCGGAGGCAAAGTGCAGAAGATAAAACATGACATCATTACCTTTTCTATTAAAAAACACAAAAGAAATGTTCTTTGCCAAGTGTTAGTCTCATATTACTTCAAGTCAGTAATTAAGAAGTTCTACTCTGTGGCAAAAGATCTAGTTTTCCCATAGAGACCAGCTCACATGCCAGATACAGGATTTTTCACTTGAGAATTAGAAAAACTGATCCCTACAAGCTTGTAAAGCTCTGCAGAAGTAATCCACAAGAATCCATTACCAAAACCCAGCACAATACTCCATCCCCAGATTCTGACGGTATCTACAAATAACACAAAACATTTTACAAAACAAATGGGTAAACATAGATGCTGTGTGTGCATGCATATGAGGCAAAAAGCTGCAACAGTATCATGTAAAAAACACAACTTCACTGTGTTCCAAGTCAAATCAGTGTTCTCTTGCTTTTTCCAACTGAGATAAAGGCGAGACTATTTCAGCTAAAGCCAACATTTACTACTAAAAGTACCTTTTGCTTGCAGTCAAAAATATGTTCTGTCACAGCAGTTTAATCTTCAACTAATTTATTTCAAGTGAGTGAGTTTCTTTGAATTTTTTGCTTGCAAAGTAATCTGTCTTCCATCAATGAGAATCTGTGCAAATTATTAAAATAAAAAGGTTTTCAAAGCAATTCTGTTCCTTACTTCCTTCGTTTATATTTGACTTCAGGCTTATTTAATATGCTCCCAAGTAGATAAAAGTAGCACAATTTTGTTTTCATGCTGGGTGGCCAAAAGGTTAAACGTCGAGTTTCCAGTGTGGGAAAATCCCAAAGTAGACAAAACTGTTTTGATGCTTACTGAAGTTATATTTCTACTTAGCACAGCCAACAATTCTGTTAGTTGATCCCGCTTCACTGAGATAAGGACATTATATTAAAATATTTACAAGCATAGGAAGCTGGAATGTGTTTAAAATTCTGTAAAAAGGGACCTGTTCAAATACAATTCTGTTACAGGAAATCCTTGGGGTAACAATGTTTTTCTGTAAGCACAGTTATTCCAGAAATCCTCCAAAATAAGTATTACGCTAAAATATTCGCCAACAGTCCTTCTTGCATTAGTTTCACGTGGAAGTTACTCAGCCTCTAGCAGTTCTTCAAGAAGCTTCAGTCAGTGTGTATATCCTGCTATACATGTCTATATGCTTCACTCCATGCAAGGCTAAAAGCTGGATCTGTCTGTCTCAAACACGCATCATCCTTCTTTAACATCTTGAGCAACACAGAATTAATGCCGAGAGGTAAATCTTCCTTTCCCTTCAGCATGGCTCTCTCTACAGCTGTCTGGCAAGCAGTATCCTTCTTGGGTTGACGACAGCAAGGGGTCTCAGATGCCATCAGCCAAAGAGCAAACCATCTTCCTACATTTGGCCACTGACCTATGACATGAAATGCACTGTGCTTATGGAAAACAGTCAGGTAAAAGTGGTTCTTGCAAAAATGATCCTTTATGCACCCCTTCATACAGCATCCTCTTTGAGCAGGCAGGAGAGTCTCCTCCCTAGGGGAGTCTGCCTTACTTTTTGGAGTTGAAGTCGTCTTCTTCGTTTCACAGAGATGGAAACACATGATGTAATCCACTCAGAAATGTGCTGCTACAAATAAACTTGACCTTTTGAGTATTTTCACAAAGAGAGAGTTTGACAGTACTGCTGAGGTGCTAGGAAAAAAAACCGCTAGAAACATCCAAAGTATGCAGCTTCCTTCTCCTGGAAATGAGCGTGCCTTCAAGAAACGTGATGAAGTACATACTCTGTGCCTGTCCCTCCCTGCCCCCCCTTTCATTTGTAAATCGCCCCTGAAGGAAGTGATTCTCAGACAACATTTCATAAAAATAGAGACCTGGTGTTCCCTACCTTTACACAGCGTCCACACGATTACAGAAAAGATCTCCTTGGAGTGCAAAGAGCCATCGTTGGTATTTCCAGGACCATTTTAACAAGCTTTACAAATGGAATTCTGAAGTAAGAAACATCGAAGCAAGGAACTAGAAGGCAAATATTAATTCCTCTGAGGAATTCTCACACTGGATTACGTTTTTCTAAAAATGTAATAATTCTCTTGAAAAAAAACATGATACGCAGCTGTTCCAACCAGCTAAACACTTCGTAAGGAGTATGTTGGATCAGGGCTCTTCTTGGGTCGATACTCTTCTCAGTTGTCAGTACGGAGGATCTGTATCAAAATAATCGTTCTTACAAAGAGT